AGGGAGCAAGTCTCCAGGTACTACCACCACCTCCCAAAACAGGGCTGCACAGAAGGTTTAGAAGGACATCTCTCCATACAGCTTTGGTTCCAAGACAGATCACTGAAGAATATCCTTAGTCACCTCCCTCCTGCTGCCAGACAATTACAGTTTCTGGCAACAAGGTACGAAAAAGAAGATGAAACATAATATACGTCCCATAACACAGAACCCAGTTGCAATGATGGATATCGCTTCCCAGATTATCAGAGATGGACTTCTTCCTAATTCGCGGGAGAGGCTTTTTTTTGTCTCTCTGAAACTTTTCATTTTAAATCTGTAACAAACTGCTTCAGTGACGCAGAGAAACTGCAACATCAACCAACTCAAAGCACTCCTTTGTTTAGCAGCTGCCTTCTGTGTAAACAGGTAGGAATAGAGTAGTAGGCCAGGAGAGCTGGTGAAGGAAGGCAGACTAAGTTTTGCAGTCTTGTTTTTCCAAACACAAATATGAATTGGGAAATGTGGAAGCCAAGGTTTAGTGACGGGGCGGGGTGAGTCAAAAATCAAGATACTGATCAAAAGCAGGAGCTGCAGTATAGAACTGTAACTAGGACATTCTGATCTAAACTAAACTGAAGAGTTCTCTCTGCTTATTTTTTTCTTTGAATCCATTATTATTTAACACTTGCTTTAGAAAACTAATGTAACTAATCAGATCAACTTTAATAAATAATAAATATTTTCTTGGAGACAAAGACTGTTTTAAAAATATTAAAACACTAGAGGGCTAGAGAGCTAGTTAGCTTCAATAATTGGTTTAGAAACCTCACTGTTTCTGTAACTGGTCACCTTATGCACCTGTGAAGAACTGTTTGCTTTTCAACAGCGAGTCTAAAGTTTTAGAAGTGTAGTGAGGATTAGAGCCATGGAACATAAGTATTTCTACATAGAACAGAAGGGAATTATTCACAACAGACACCAGGTAATAGCTATAGTAGCTGAGAAATACAGTCAAGGAAGAACTTCGGAGGTGTTAGGTGCGTTTTTAACTTATTTATTTAGAAACATCCCGACAATCTTTTAATATCTTAGTTGCAGAAGTATACAATGACTTGAATGAGAACTGGGCGATACAATAGCGTTCTACAACTGTAAGCATTGAAAACTTGTTTTAATTGCAGCTAGACAGGCAAAGAGAACCTCAGAACCGCCAAAAAGCCACTGACGTTCACATCAGTAAATTTAACATGTTCTCTTGCAGTCAAGAGTCCGTGTCGCTGTAAAAGGGGTATCTGCAAAGGGGCTCCAGCAAGCATGTAAGAAACATCTCTGTCTTAAACTCTTTGATAGTCAGCGCAGAATACAAAGCCCTTCTATAGCCACATGTTGAGAGAGGGGACACACTGCCCTGCTGGAGGAACAGTTTCTGTAAATTGTCTTTTCTGAGCCAACTACTTAGACAATAAGACGACACAGATCACAATTTGCTTGCAACAAAGAGAACAGCATCAGAATTAACTACTTCATATGACATTTTCACTATCCTTGCTACTCAGGAACAGGTATGTATAGGGCCCAGATGCCCAGATGTACATTTCTATTTCACCACAAAGCTCTTTGTGGTATTCCAGCTGCAGGAATAACTGAATTTTTTTCCCACCCAACTTATATCGAGAGGGACAACATCTACTGCCTTAATCCAAAGGCACATCAAAAAATATGGAATGGTTTAATAAGGGCACAGAGAAAACACAGGTTATTTTTGGATAGACAGTGATCAAAATAAAAACAAACTACTAAAGTCCAAGACAGAACCTCATACCAGCAACTCATGCCAAGGAAATTATTTCTGCGCATATTATTTTATTTGTGAAATCAAGATAACTTATATCGGGGGGGATCGCCTTCCCTCCCCCTCCTTTTTTTTTTTTTTTGCTAGTGCACAGTAAAAGTTTAGGTCTCCACCTTCTATAGAGTAGTTTCTCCAAAATGCAAAAAAATGACAACTCCAGCAAGCAACGACAGATCTACTTCTGAAAAACTAGTACTCCTCTCCCCATCTATCCAGACAAACTAAACTCCAGCACTCCAACTCTAAGCAGTTTTTTTTCACCTATTCTCCTCCTGTGGAGGATTATCAACCAATTTAAATTACAGAAAAAGTAATTAAAACTACCCCAGAACAAAAAAAACCTTGCCTAGAGATCACCAAAATTCTTAAGACTTATTAGCCATTATCTCAGACCTACCTACCAACGTGCGTCGTCTCAAAAAGAAATATCAACATCACAGGAATATTCTTATGACTACAGAATATTCATTGAAATAACACTTGTTTTCATTCACTACTCTCTCTTCTGGGTGCCTCTTCTAGACTTGTTTACTACCTGAATGGAGATTTTCTTTCTTTTCCTCCCATACATCTCTGCAAAAAGAATGAGTTCACCTACTTTTCCATTAAGGTAGCACACACATTTTTACTTGAGAACACAAACACAAACAAGCAAAACTGTGAATATCAAACCCTGCAACACAGCAAAGAAAAATGACTACATAAATGGAACAGAGGAAAACCAACAAGACTTGAAAAATGAGTATTTTTTTTTCTGAAACACCTATTGCAATTATACGAACAAGTTCAGTACTAGGACAGCAGAGGCTGTCTTTCACCAACAGTTAAAGTATGAGCAAGCCTGGGTACTTTGTATTCTCTGAACATCCAGCTGAGATGTACTAAAGCTTGTTAACTTTATACCTCCCAGTGACCGACAAACATAGCAACAGTATTGTAAGTAACAACTTCTTTGTGTTCTTTCATGCCACTTGTGAATACTGCTCTACGCTTACAGCTCCTCATCTAACACACTGTATTTGATTATGTATTTTTTTAAAACAGAAGTGAATTCCTTACTTCTACTCATTCTGAAGATATGTGGAATGTACTAGACAAAGTATTTGTTGCACAAGGTGAAAAATCAACTGAAAATACTGATACATTTTGTTGTTTGTTGACTACAGGATCAAAATTTCTTTTTATTTACATAATATTTCTTTTCATCTACATAATACTTCTTTTCATTCTTCTTTTCTTAAATATTAGTGGCATTAAGACTGTTAATTGCTCACAAGTCAACTGTCAACATCCCACTTCGTCAATACAGGCCAACAGATCTCTGTGGGAAGCTTGTTTATATTTTTTAGATACTTGTAGAAATTGATCATCCCTACACACTGTGGAACTTTAAAAATCAAGGCGAACAACTCATAACTATATAATTAATGAAGCATTTAGGTAAGTAATCAGGGCAGACTATCTACTTTTGTTATTATACACATTAACAGTTTTTTAAAAATAATAAAAATTAAACAAAAGTGAAGTTAAAAGTCTTCCTTTCGTTAGGCGTAACACTTCTGCTCTTGGCAGAAATGACTGCGCACTAAAATAAAAAAAAAGGCACCAACGACGACCCTTCAGATCGGAGCAAACACGGTTCAGGACGACAGCGAAGCCCGATTTACCACGAACAACGAAAAATAGCGCTATCGTGCATCGGGAAAACCGCCGAGCCGCTTGTTCACGG